TAATATTTTATCCTTTTAGAATGCCTCTCAAAGCTGGTCTTGGTTCCTTTATTTTTTTCCCAGGCCTGGAGTTTGTCTCTTGAGGATTACTTTTTTTTAACAATCAAAATGCCCAACCTCCCAGTTCTTTAACACTTTCTCTGGTTTGACTTTTAATGAAACCACTGTTTGTTTACCCGCTTTCGTTTCAAATTGTTGAAATTTTCTAATACAAGTAGGTTTTTGACATGATTAAACTCTGCATTGCCCCTCTTCTAATCCAGAATTGTTTCAGTAAGATCCTCTGGAGCACAGTACTGTTTTCCAAGCATCGCTTTTACATGATGGTTTCTGCTGACCTTTTTTTTGGTGTAGGTTCCTTTAAGTGAATGCAAGTGATTTACAAATGTTGCCTATTGACTCCCTGTATGGGGAAACTTGCAGAAGGTGGAGAAAGTGTTTTCTAATAAATAAAATCGTAATACTGAAATATGTTTCTTTTCACATAAATAGGACTTCTTCAGTATCGCGGTGTTAGGGTAGGAGGAGAAATGAGGCTTCCTAACCATCAGCAAGTCATGGTCCTTGATACTTCAGTTACCGAAGTAAGACCAGAAAAGGTTTACTCAGACAGTGGATTTTCTCAAGAGTTTTTTATAGTTTCGCAGAAGCGTAGCCTGTTAGTTGGGGATTGCGCCTGGAATTCAAACTATGCTCCTGCCCAGCCTGAACACATTCAAAGTCAAGCCCTGTTTGTTCTGTTCACATTCGTGTTACGCCGGCATCGTCTTCCCCGAGTGTTCTGCACAAGAGTTTCTCCCTCTTTAGGGTTATGTTAGCGCTTTGCAAAGTGTGAAGTCTGGTGTAGTGGTAAATAAATGCTACAATCTTGACATTATTCTTAGGAAGAATTCACTTCTCGCCTTCCTTGGCCATGCCACCCTGTCATCACTCTAGTTGACGTTCGTTGCCCTACGCAGCTTCAGCTAGAGTTTAACCAGGATCTTGGGGGTGTGTTGTGTAACGGCAGCATTTCTTTTTAATGGAATAGGACATCACTTGAATTTTTTTTTTTTCAGTTTAAAGTATGCACATATAACGTTTAAGCCCTGTTTATTGTGGAATGTCATCCCAAACCAAATTGTTATTTAGTATTGTTGTGTTAGGAGTTCCATTTTATAGTGCAAGATGTGTTGATGCTGCTGTAGAGTCTGTTATATTAGAATGTGCCAGCAAATGAATCAGTGTTATGGAAACAAGAACCAGACATGTAAGGACTAGTTTTCTGGCTATTTCTTTTCAGGAAATTTGCCTGCTACTTTCGGTTAATTTGTTTCCTAACTAATTATTTTTATAGATCTCATACAAATTAGACCTATTTAACTTAAAAAAACACACCCTGTTGCTAACTTGGTTTTTCTAGTGGCCTCTGAAACCCCTGTTTTACCTAAATACATAACAAATCTTGTGGTTTTACTTGCTTTCCCTGAGAGTAGCCCCAGGCTACATTCCATGACTCAGATGGGATGCTAAGGATTTCTTATGTTATTCTTTTTTCTTAAATATTATTTCAGAATTGTGGTTAGTGTAGGTGTATTGGAGAGGAAGGAGAATCTGGGTTTTATGCAACTACTATGTCTTAATTCTAAAATCAGTCACTGGTTTAAGCAGGCTTGTAATAAAGTGACAGTGGAACTCCATTCGCCTGGTTCCAGCTTTGCTCTGGTGACCACCTGCCCAGTTTACAGTTCTGTAAGCTGGGCCAGCAGTAGTTCCAAAATATTTGATGTGGTGTAAAGACAAAAGGTTGTTAATAAAAGGCCTTCGTATTTGGCTATCACAAGTCATGGAGTTCAGCTTTAAAGGGAAAGTGAAAACAAAGACCAAAGAAACCCACCCAAAAAACCTCTGCTGTGTCTCAGTTTGATAATCTATTACTTGCTGTAGATGCTGATTTTGAGATGCCAATAAAAAGTTCAAAGAGTGTGAACTTAAATTCTTTCTCCTTCCCACGTGGGCAGTTCGTAACACCCTACTGAAAATACCGCATAAGCGTTGCTGAGTACAGTTCAGATTAGCAGGACAGAGTAAAGGCAGTATTAGGTATTTTACTGTTCATCTGACCAACAAGGCACAAACATTGATCGGTATCCCATTACTGTAATCCACATATTTTCTTAGAAGAACTGCACTTAAAACACAAGGAAACTCTTGTGACCCATATGTAACTGTTCTGTTAAACTACATCTTAGGCTTTTTATTATCGATGTGTTTATGCTAGGGCCAGGAACTGGATTTGCTTTTCAGCCCTTCTTAAGAGTCTGATTGCAGAAACTTCTCCAACTGTTTCTCCGCAAGGTACAAGGGAGTTCATGAATTGTTTGAAATAATTGCTTTATATCCATTCTAAACCAGAGTGCCATAGTTGTAGTGATAAACAGCAGTGGGGAAGGACTTTTGTCTTGTTTTTTGTGGCAGTTGTACTCTGGTGTGACTTTTTTCGTTGAGGCAGTGCCACTTTTCAATTTAAATGTACATTGGTTGGTATTGAAGAATCTTTATGATTTATTGCATTTTCTGTGAATTGATCTTTGCCTAGTTAGTTTACTCACTGTAGTGCAAGGTGAAGCAAGTATTTTGGGGTCTGTTTGGAGATAACTGGCTTGGCAGATGCTGGCCCCACGTAGAAGTAGATGTCTATTTTAGAACCATATCTCAATTAAGTAGCTGTAGCCCGGTGTAAGTTAGCTTCACTAGGTGGGAAATTTAAACAGGGTGTGTAGCTTTGAATCAGTTGCTGTATGAGTGTGATGTACATTGACAATTCGGGTTTTTTCAGTTCTGAGCTTTGTAGCAATAAGTTGAGTGAGTTGTAAGGGGTTCTGTGTTAGACTACTGTTACCTTTAAAAATCAATATATAAAGCCACCCCGAAATGGGTTTGATTCAAATATGGTGAGATTCCAGATAATTCCCCCTCTCTACTTTCTCTTCCTACTCTTTGCTTTGATTGGAAGGTTGGAAACCTTCAAAATTAAGGCATCTGATAAACATTATTCCAGCAATGGGGGAAAGCACACTGAGGACTGGAATTACGATTTTGGTTCATCATTTACTTCCCATAGCAGTAAATGGTCATACAATCTACAGAGACTGAAAATCAAATGAAATCTTACCTACTGGTGGAAGAAGTTTACCTGGTCTGTTTGTTCGTGAACAGTTCATAAAAGCAGGGAACAAAATGAAAAGATACATCTAATACTATATATAAACATTATGAAATCCTTAAAATCATTTAGAACATTTTTAAACCATAGAGAGTTTAAATGTGTAGCGTGTCCTTACTGTCATTTGTGTGGATGTGCAGCTGCTGAATATTCAGTGGCAACAAAAGGCAGATCCAATTTGCATTTGATAGGCTGTGTCCAGCGCTGGTGTTCCCAGCTGAGCGATCAGGCAGTCACATACGCATCTTAGACCTGCCAAAAAGAGGATGTTTGAAAATCTTCATCGCTGAATTTATTTTAAGGTGCCATTATTCATCTTTTAAGATGCCGTTTAAAGCATTTACAGTTCTGGTACAGTTCAGGTATTAGTTAACATTCTGGTAGGAAAGTGAATTTCTTAAGAAGCCATTTTCAAGTGAAACCTTGGAAGTCACATTTGGATGTGACCCCTTCACTCTTAGTAAAACAGTGCAAGAGACTAATATTCCAAGAGGGGGAGTGATTCCAAAGCAAAGTTACTAGGGGAACCTTGGGGCACTAAAATGACTACTTAAAACAATGTGTTCCTTTTAACATTCTGGTAGGAAAGTGAATTTCTTAAGAAGCCATTTTCAAGTGAAACCTTGGAAGTCACATTTGGATGTGACCCCTTCACTCTTAGTAAAACAGTGCAAGAGACTAATATTCCAAGAGGGGGAGTGATTCCAAAGCAAAGTTACTAGGGGAACCTTGGGGCACTAAAATGACTACTTAAAACAATGTGTTCTTTTCCTTTAAAATACTTCTGTACAGAAAAGGGGCGGGGGTAGAAATAGGATATATACAGCAACTATTCCAAAAGTCATGTGCTGTCCTAGATGCAGAAAAGCTGATTTGGAATAAGTTACCTGAGCCACTTAAAATCAGAATAGAAGTATTTACTTTCAAAGCTCTGAGAGAGAGCCAAGAAAAGAGATAGCTGTTGGTAAAAGTAATGCCCCTCAGTGGTGTGTCTATTGAAGTCATTAGGCTGCTGCTGTGCTTTCCAAGTCTATTCAAAGTTCTTAGACTGATGCCAGAACTTCTGCGTATTGCAGACACCCCTCTGCAGCCAAAGTGCAGCTTTTATGTGCAGAAACGAATGGGCTGCTGGTCGTGACTTAGAATTGTGTCACAGGCTCAACAAAACTGAAGCACTGTGATTTTGGCTATCTGCTCTTGTGTCTGCCTTATGGTTTTTAAGATTGACACGATCAAATCATGATCGAGCTTTGCATCACTGTCTTTCTTCTGTAGTTCAATATCCTTCTACACAGTAAAAGAATAAATTCTGCAAATACTTTAAGTGATAATTAAGATACAGATGTATGCATAGTCCCTGAAGATCCCTGTTAACCTGAAAAGTCAAGTAAAACCTCATTGTTACTTGCTACCTTTTATGCAAGGACTACTGAGAAGTAGTGTTTCATTGAAGAAGAAAAAATCTTGAGAGCCAAATAAATATAATGTATAGTGGAATTGTGAGTTAGAGAACAAATGTTACCAGATAGTACTGATTATTAAAAATGCCAGCAGAATTCTCATGGATGAAAATACGTAGTTCAAAACGATTGAGCAGCAGTTCTTTAAGCGTTACAAAAAGTTAGGAGTCAAAACAACTGAGAAAGCCAACGGAACTTGTAGTCAGGTTCTAAAAGTGAAGTTTTTTGTTAAATTACCATTTACCGTTCATTGCAGCGGTAACAATATTTTACTGTGTGCTGATTTTCTTCATGTGTAATCCATTTTGCTAATGCTGTTTTTACTCTTCCAGGAGTTCTATGAACATACAAAAACGCTTTGGCAAGACGAGGGTGTGAAAGCCTGCTATGAGAGGTCTAATGAGTATCAGCTGATTGACTGTGCGCAGTAGTAAGTATTGTTCCTTTCTGCTGTCCGTGGGCTGGGGTGTGCAGATCTTTTGACTGAACGCTCCCGACAGTGATTTGTATGGCTCTGGTGCTTACTTTGCCTTCCCTTGGAAAAGGAGTGTGCGCTACGTAGGGAATCCTTGGTAAGCAGCTATTCAGAGGTGGGAACAACTGGCATCCAGTCAGACAATAACGCCTGTACTGAAAACCTTGGAGATGCTTTCACATGGTCTTAATACAGGCTGACACCCTGATGTGGTGGACAAGTGTGTTGTCTCCCAGACCAGATTTCCTGCTTCTTCCACTTCGAGCAGTTCCTTTCCGAAGGACAGCTTCAGATACCGCAGCAAGTGTTAGTAAGTGGGAAGGTACGTTAGTGTGGAACGTGCCTGTGTCTGTAGCTCTTTTTTGAGTGCAGTTTATTGATCTGAAAACAAAAAGATGGCAGCGACAGTCATGGGCAGCAGCCTGAGATCAGTCACCAAGACTTCTGATTGTATGCCCTCATGCACATGTCAGGGAATGATTCACTCTCTTCTGCTATTTATACAACTGTGATAATTAGTATTGTCAGGAGAGACTGCTGCCTGTTTGCAGGTATTTATCACATACAGCAATACCGAGTGCCTTGGAATTTTTCTGTGGCAAGATGGTTGTGATAGTTGTGACCATTGCTTTTATTTTTGTTGTGAATACTCAAGCACAGGAGGACTTAAATGTGGAACATTAATGGTTAAAACTGCTCTTTGTTAGTTTATATTCTCTCTCCACTTCTTTTGGAGAAGCTGAAAAAAAAGTTTACTGGTCAAGGAAGTGCAGGTTTCTCATTTCATGTGATAATGGACAACTGCACTTTGTCTACTGCTGGTCTCTTAAAGAACATTTGACAAAGTAAAATTTGTTAAGGTTCTTGTTTTATGTTTATTTAAGTAGACTTAAAGGTAAACCAACAATTAGCTTTGTTTGGAGAGAGACCAGGGAGCTCATTTTACTATGACTTGCGCAGTTCCAGGTCTTTAGGAGCCTCTTTGAAGTTTTCCATTGTTTCCATTGTGGATTTGTTTGATGTGTAGCGATGTCTTTTGCATGAGGTGGCTGACGTTTGATAAGTCCTCAGAGGATCTTTTTGCAAGTCCTCAGAGGATCTTTTTGCAAGTTCAATTGCTGCAAAATAAAAAAGTACTGCAAGATTTTCATTTTCTGTCAAGTATCTGGTAATTTTTGTCTTTGTAGTGTAAAGCTGATAGAAATGGGGAAACCTGGTTTTGTTTCTGGCAGCACCTGGTTATCTGTTTCTGGTTGGTGTTTGTTACTGGTCAGCATCTATGAGGGGAAGAGGCGGATGCTGTTAAGCACTAAGGGAGGTTTGTGTTGCCCTTCTTTGAAAGAGGAACACATTTTATTTTGCCCTGAATGCTCAGCAGAAAGCTGAAATTCTTATCATCTCTGACTTGTGGACATTGGGTCAGCAAGGGGGTGGCCTACAGGATGGTTTTACCATCCTGCTCCGTCTAGTGGAACACTTAATTCTACATCCTGGGCTGCAGAGCCAGAAATAAACCTTGTACATTGCTGATAAATTACAGATTATTTTCAAAGATACCATTGCTGTCATCTTCTAAAAATATTTAATAATTGCGTTTATTCAATTTGATAGGAAAGTATACGACATTATTTTCTTGCAGAAGGAGCTTTCTAATTGTTAGTTTTGGTAGTTCTTGCCCTTTCTGGGATTTTTGATCTGCAATGGCCTTATTTTTAATAACAGAACATGCAAAGTAAAAGTTTCTTAATGGCAAAATGTCTGCTCGGAGGTTGATGTCACTTTGAAATTCTATACCTGTTTTTATCACATTAAATTTTCAAGGGAGCTGACAAAAATCACTTCCTGTAAAATCTGACAAGATTGATACTTTGAAATTAACGTGGTGAGCTCAATCTAAAAGAAAATTTAGCAAGGGCAAAATGGAAAATGTCGCTGAGATTTATCAAATGAAGACTCTTTTGATTTGAATGTGCAAGCTACTGGCTGCATTCGGGCTGGTAGAAGTTAAAGTTGAGCAAATTGTCAGTTCTGTCAGAGACGAGTCTTTGGTTCTAAACACTTTCCCCTTTTGAAGTCCTGTTTAAAAGGTGTATTTAAAATGGAAGGCGGAAAAGTGGCTTTTCTCTTTCAAGATCGATCCAGCTTCCAAAAATCCCTTCTTTGTCTTGAAAGTTGAATAAATTCTTAAATATTAATGGTTTCTTTGTTTGGTGAACTACTTCAAAATCCTAAACAATGCTTCCTGTCCACAAAAATTAACTTTTTATAGTTGTTTCTAAACCTTATGTTTTTAAACTGACATTTTTCGAGGTGTGAGTTACTTAGTGTAAAGCCTGGCTCGGTGTGGGCTCATTTAACTTCCTGCCTTTTTTAACGTGAAGGTGTTTTCTCTTTTGGAAGGGACATGATTATGTATAGGAAACTTTGCAAGGAGATTCTGCCGAACATTTAAAAATCAATTTTGTCTTTTAGGAGGGAATACTGAGGGCTTACCTAGTTCCCTTTTGTCTGATGTTGCCATTTTTACACTTGTGCTTTTCATGGATAAAAGCTGCCTCACCACGCAGGCAGCTGAGCTGCAGTCCAGCGGAAGGTGGAGGTTTGAACTCTGGCAGAGTTTGTGCTGGAGAAAGGGAAGAGGCTGAGGAGTTGGGGCTTCTCCAGACGAACAGAGAGGAGAGGGACACTTGTTGCTTCTTGTCCTTTCGCGGGACGCGGGGGGAACAACCATAATTCACAATGCGTTCATCTCCCTGGCTTGAATGTAGGTATTTAGAGTCTGGCAATGGAGTTTTTCACCTGCTTCTGAGCAGTGACGTGAACTGTAACACTTCTTGCTGACTCACGGGGAGTGTTCGGTGTCTCCCCATCAGAAGCTAACGTTAATACAGGCTTTGGCTGTTGCTCCACCAAGTTCCTGGAAAAGGCAACTGTACCAGAAGCCTGGCTTTCTGCTGAACTGCACTCGTGCTCTGCGGAGGTGTGAAGCTGGGAGGCCCGGGCAGCGACCTCGTCTGCTGGAGAGCCCTGCTGCTCTCCTGCCCTTTATCCTCCAGCTCACTGCCTAAAGCAAAATGTCACTTCGGAGGAACCCTGTTCGTTTGGAAAGAGTAGCTGCCTCTGCTCACCATGAGCTTTACTGCACTTCCTGCCTGGGCATATTTTACAGTCTTGAGAGGCAGAGAAAGGAAAGGAGACTCTTTCTCTTTTCTTAACTGGGCTTACTAGGTAATTAGTTTCAATTCTGCTTATAGAACAACACAGTCTGCAAGGCTGTCACCTGTTTCTCTCCGGGAGGAATGTATTTTGGCTTTGAGGAGGGAACTTGAGCTATGAGGAGACCAGATTTCATTGTCTTTCCTTCTTGTGGGGATGTATACAGAAGAGAAAAAATGTTTGTACTGAAGCTGCCATGCGATGTGGCTCTTGTCTAATAACAAACGGAAGAATGCAGAAGTGTGTAGTATATGGAAAACCCCAAATGGTGATAAATAAATGATTTACCATCCTTCATATTTCTTCCCTGAAGGCACAAGATTGCATTTTAGTTAGAATATATTACTTAAGAGTATAGGAGCCATTTCCACTGTAATGTGCCAAGAACTGTTTGTCAAATATCTGTCAGATATAAACAAACAATCTCTCTGAAGTGCTGCTGTTGCTAATACTTCTCCCTGGGTTTTCATCTGAGGAGCTCACTTCTTAAAGCCTCACAGGTACGTGCTGGAGTAGCCAGAGGAGGTGGGATCTCTCCCGTACAAACGTGCGGTTTGTGGCACGAGGGCATGAAGGACGGCGGCAGCGCCCTGTCAGGTCCGAGCCAAAGTCTGGGGATGTCCTGAAGAAAATCGCTTTGGTGTCAGTAGCTGTTGGATGAGCCATGTAGCAAATCAAAAACAGAGCCTGGTTACAAAAGCCTCCTGGAGCTTTTTCTAGACTTGCTCATATTAGGCAGAACCCACGGATCCTTGACTTTTCGCTTTCATTAGCTTTGGCCAACAGTTTGATTTTGAGCTTCATTTAACGCTCTGCTTTCTCGGGGCGTCTCGTGGCTGATGCTTCCTGGTTTTGGCCGGGGTGGAAAAGGAAATAATGGGAGAGACAGTCTCTGCAACTCATTTCACACCCTCCGCTCTCAGGAAGGGCTGGAAGTAGCATGAGGGAGCCCGTTCTCACGCTATTTCCTGCCGCCGGCCGCGCCGCCTTCTCTCCCGCTGCTGCCATTTCGGGGAAGGAGCAGGCGCGGGGAGGCGGCCGGTCGAGGTGCAGAGTCGCGTTTCTCAAACCTCTGCACCAGCAGAGCCGCTCCGATAGCTTGAAACTCTGCCAGGCTGCTCCAGAAGAGTTTTACGAGAAGTATTTTTTAAGATGTTTGCTTTTAAAATACTTATCAAAGAAAAGGGGGGAGTGCAGCTATTAGCCGACTGCTGCGCAGGGCTGCTGAAGGCTCAGCACATGTGGACGCGCTGGTTTTTCTTTAATTTCTAATTGGTTACGGGTTGTAAGTTGTTTGTCTTTTTATTAAGATTTATGGTGTGATTTATTTCTGGATTTGCCGACTTGGAGAAAGCAATTAAGAGCCCTGATCTAAGCATTTAATGATTTTCTTCCATGTTGATTTCACTTCGTGACAAAGTTCCCTTCATGGAACATGTAGTAAAGTGTGTTTGCTGAAAGTCTCACCTTTTTAAATAGTGGCTGATTTATCAGTGGTGCTACTGTTTGCCTGGTTTCTTACTCATATTATTTATTACCTTTTTTTTTCTTTGTAATTTCTTTCCACTCGATCCGATTTTGGCAGAGTAGTTCTTCTTTCTCCTCCAGCCCTGCAAGCTGTGCCTGCAGATTCACGTTCAACAGGACAGGAATTCCCCTGGCCTATATTCCTGGCATACATGAGCTTCTTGCGGACATTAACAATTATATCGTTAAACATTCCCATGAGGAGGAATAAT